CATGGCTGCCACCTACAGGCACTGTCAGTGGAATGGTGGATTGGTGAGAGCCAGGTGCACTCACCTATCATTTCAGTGACACTGGCGGCATACATATACATACAAACATAAAAACATATACATACAAACAAATACTTACCCCTCCAGTGGCATGGTCCTCCACCCGCCCACTGCTCCTCCTCCCAGTGCCGGGACAAGTCACCTGGTGCCCAGGTGAGCTCCCCAAGCATTGGTGTCACCGGATGCAATAATAACCCCCAGTATTGGTGCCAGTGGACACAAAAATAGCCCCAGCATTGGTGCCAGTGGATGCAATGTTAACCACCAACATTGGTGCCAGTGGGTGTGATAATAAACCCAGCATTGGTGCCAGTGGACGCAAAAATTACCCCAGCATTGGTGGTCAGAGGACACAATGTTAACCACCAACATTGGTGCCAGTGGACGCAATAATAACCCCCAGCATTGGTGTCTGTGGACACAATAATAACCCCCAGCATTGGTGGTCAGTGGACCGCAATAATAACTCCCAGCATTGCTGGTCACTCGCATTATTAATTAACTCCAGTCAGAGACAGCAGTGCCTTAGATCAGGGGGTCCCCAAACTTTCTAAACAAAGCAGGAGTTCACCCTCCTTCAAACTTTATAGGGGCCCGGACTGTATCCAGTGGGAGTAGAAAATGCCCCAGCATCAGTGGTCAGTAAGAGGAAAAAATGTGTCAGGCCCAATAGTAGTAAATATTTCCCCAGTGTTTTTGGCCAGTGGGAGGAAGAATAATGTCCCATCCTTGGTTTCAGTAGGAGAAATAGTGCTCCATTGCTGGTGTCAGTGGGTGAAATAGTGCCCCATCATGTTAGTGGAACAAATAGTGGCCTAAGGACCCATCAAAAGCAAGCAAAGAGTTGAATCCAACCTTCAGGCCACAGCTTGGGGACTACTGCTTTGGATGATCTCATACTGCAGATGAACAGCTATGAGGAGTTATGCACACTAGTGCACCGACGCACTCACATACCAGGAATTGCACTGCCTTTCACCAGGAGAAATTCAAGACAAAAGGTAGATTTTTCAGGGTACTGCTTGGGCACAATTACTTTTTGAGTTCAGTTCCACTTAAATCAAAGCAATGATGATATACAAACTGCATTACCCCATAGCAGCCAGTCAGATTTCTGTACATTGGAGTGAAATCAGTGAAAGATGAATTTCGATTGGTTACTTATGGGTCACTGCTGTCTTCCTTATTGCACAGACATTATAATTTATTCCGGTAAAAGGGCTTCAATAAATCCGAAAAGGATGAAGATATTTGCTGACCCAGTTTCTATCTGAGAAATATGTCTGTAATCCTGTACAGAGCGTAATTTCCAGTAGAGGATGAAAGACCTTGAGCCCTGCCTGTTGTCATGTGACCTCACTGTGATTAGCCCCTGCTGATTGCTGGCCAGATAGAGGGGGATGATTTGTGAGAAGAACATGGAACGCTGACAAGAATCTGCAAGCCTCAGAGACAAAAACAACCACCTGTGAGTATACTGGCATTCTAGAGAGCGTGGATCACAATGGGGCCGAGTTATAAAGATTTAGGAAAGAAAAGTGTATTTTGTAGCCTGTGCAAATCCGAACCTTTTTATAATGATATGACCCAGGAATTTTCCCAACGTTTACCATGTACCAAGTGCCACCATAACCTTTATAATCAGCAGTGGAGTCTTTGCAGGCTTCAAGTCCACCTGACTACAATGTGCCTATTGGAGCTCTATTATCTTCTTTGATCTATGTTGAGGATCACATAGCATGGACCAGAAGCACTGGGCTGCCTTATCAATTCAGCGTTATCTTATTGCTGATAGAAAGCGGAGTGGCTCTGAGTCCTGACACCAGGCTACAACACATGTACTGTTTATAGTTATGTCACTCAGAAAGCAGTACGGGCAATACAGATCATAATTTCAGAATGTGAGGAAACATGAGCTGACTGAAAAGTGTAAACTGCCTTTGCTGATTTCCTTATTAATATGTTAGCTGATTGGCTGTCTGGTTTCAGGGTTTGTTCACACCATGTCCAGATCATGTCCAGACCAGAACAGTTTGTTCCTGAACCAAAAAACATCCCAATGTATCTGTGACGGACCCCCGTACTCAGGATGAGTATGTCCGCCGCTGTCTTCTTCCTTGCTCAGGAGATATTGGAACCAGCTGATCTTTAGCTCTCAGTTTCCCCAGTCACTGGTCGAGACCAAGTGTAGGGTGAAACAAACTCTGATTTATTAAGAAACTGTGCAACCTTTTATACAGCAAGTGATCAGATCACATTATAATCCCATCACATCCACCCTGCCCTCCCTAGACATTCTGTCTGCACAACACCACAGGGGTCCACCTGCTAAACAACTCCAGACAGTCATAGCAGGAGCCTGGCCAGAATGTCATTGTCCTGAGCTCCTTCAGAGTACAAAGGGAGATAACGAGGGTGGGGTGCTGACAGTCTTTTGATAACCAGGTTACACAGCATAACATAATTAAACATAACTCAACACCAATACACATTTAACTCCTAAACTGATCACCATGTCATCACAGTATCCCTATGGTATTTCTGGGCTCTGTTGACACCAGCGCAGTACGTTCCGGACAAGACAAACAAAAAAATACTGATTGTCTCATTTTCTCTGGTTTGGAATGCACTGGAACGCATGGAAACACATCAAAAACACATACATATGCATGGACTGCACCTGAAAGCCAATTTTGAAACATGTTTACACCATGTCTAGGCCAGATCTGGAGCAGATCTGAAAATGCAGTGTGTTTTGACCGGTCATTTTTTTGTTTTAGCTTAAAATGGGCTTACAGGTGCAGTCCAGTGCGTTTGCATGTGTTTTTGATGCATTTCCATGTGTTCCGGTGCATTCCAGACCAGAGAAAATGGGACAAGCAGTATTTTGTTTTGTCTGGAATGGACTGCGCTGTTGTGAACACAGTCCAGAAATAGCATAGGGATACATTGGGATGCTTTTTTGGTTCAGGAACAAACTGTTCTTGTCTGGACATGATCTGGACATGGTGTGAACAAGCCCTAAGGGCCCTAAAAGCTCTCAGAAATAGGTAGCAATGGCAGCCTACAGATTTGTCTCATAGGTTTTCTGGCTGGTTTCCTTTACTCTGCGAAGCTCACAAAACTTGACAATCACTGCTATTTATATTTTATATAGAAAATGATATTGCACTAACTAGCACACAGGTGCCACAACTCCCAATACCATCCATAGAGAAACTTCCTTCTTGTACTCATCATATGTAACAGTGCCACCTGTAGGTTATGAGAAGGCACTGCACTCCAACTAAAAAGTCTACGGTCAGAATAAAAACTACTAAAATGTAATAGAATGTTATGTCGCTGTTGTAATCATAATTGTATTTTGTTGTCTAAGGAAATCAAATTTTAAAATGTTACAATTTCAGGGCAGTCAAAGATTGCAGTGACAATGGCTCTGCTTGGGACCAAACTCCATAGAGACTTGGCCGTCCTCAGCTCTGTGTATACCGTCCTCTTCACTCTGCTGCTCTGCCTCGCAGGATTCGTATGTGTGTTTATATATGTCTACACATCACATCTGGTGTATAGTGGGTAGATATATTACATCATGTTCTTCCTCTGTTTACGTGGATATTCTTTAAGAATAATAAACTCCATACATACTGTATTCTTTGCGATGTCTTAAATAACTCACTAAGTTGACCTGTAAGTTAATTATAATGAACACAGTCTGATGCTTTAGCATTCATCCCTCTGCGGAACATACAGTGAGTGGAGGTTCAAGATAAAAATGGTCGGTGAGAAATGATGGGGCGTCTTATCATATTTCTCTCCTGACACTTGTAAGAATTATTATCATTCTTTATGACCGTTTCACTTGTCAAATGTGTCATTCTTTACTACTCCTTTTATTTTCTTCATCATCACTAAACTGTGGTTACTCATCACCTGCTAAACACACTTACCAATTTACCTGCATTGCCCATCAAAATACTTCTCACATTATTAATCATATGGATAGTGCACAAGTCATCACTGGAAAGTGGATCCAGAACTTGCTGGTAGACTTACTACGCTCAGCTCATGCATTATAGTTACATCATGTATCTCTTTGTATTGATAATTCACCTAATGTCATGTACTGTCTACCTGCTCATGTGTTGTAGTCCTTATTACTCCCATCCTATGTCATATACCTCACTACACCAATCCCAAGTAATGCACCTCACTGAAATTTACTATATTCATCCCACGTCATCCAGCTCACCACACCCATCCAATACGACGCAGTTCACTATACTCATCCCACATCATACACTTCAGTACACCCATCCCATGTCATGTCATGGACCTCAACACATTCATTCCACATCATGTTTCCTATTTCAACCATATCACATCATGTACCCCCCACCATAACCATCCTACATCACATAACTCAAAACTCCCATCCCATGTCACATGCTACGTTCTTCACCTCTCTCCTGCTGCTTCACTTGCCTCACTTTACCAATCACATCCCATGAGGCAAACCTTTCTACATGCATCATACATCTAGATGTACCTCATCTTAGTCATGCTATACCTCAATTTAAGTTACCCACATTATGTCTTTTTTTAATCTTTTTTTCCATGCAACGCACCATACTTTATTTACTATGTTACATATCTTACTTTACCAATCACAAACCACCCAATCCACTCATCCTATGCCACGTATATCACTTTACCCATCCCACAAACCTAACTTCACTGATCTCACTTCAATCATCAAAAATCACCTACACCACATCAATATATATACGTTATGTCAAGTATCATACTTGAAATGAACAAGGGACACCTCTCTATAGTGGTTGGGATCACATTGCTTGATCTTATTACATTATGCAAGCTACGAACTTTTACATCCCGTGGTCTTGTACATATCATCTCTGACACGTGCGGTAGAGATATTTGCAGCAGTTTTACATATGTAAGAGAAAGATGAGAAAAACAGATGCTTAAGACAAATACTGTATGTATAGAAGGACCCACACCAAACACACATTTTTGGGATTCTGCAGTTGCTCATGTTAAAGTTACAAGACAGATATCACAGCAGCAATTCTACCATTCCATAACAGTGACTATCACAGTATTCATTGAAGACTCCTCATGTCTTTTTCCATCCTCATCGGCTAATTGTGTTGAACTGGCCAAAGAAGGCATCTGCTGGAGTGTTAGTGAAGACATCTTTGTCAAAGTAATTTTTCCTATAAGAATAAAAGAAAAAGGAAAAGATGGTTAAATAATATTTGACAATAAGGAACGACTTTCTGGTCCTTCAATGTTAGCAATTTAATCGCTCTTAGGTTTGAACATTTACAGGAACAGTTTAATACTAAATTGGGAGAATACTAATGGTGAGTTATGTACAGGACTCTTGTTCCTCACAATACCATTTCTATTGTCAGGAGTGTGGAACTCCCCTTCCTGTACAAGCTTCATATATATGTAATGGTTGGGCTGCATTTTGCTCCTGCAGAGACACTGCATAAGAAAGAGGCAGGGTGTGGTGCGATGGGATGGATCCCACAACACTGCAATGGGCACATCTAAAAAACATAAAAGTGTTGTCTTAATATTTCCTATATACAGAAGATAGATCCCCCATGACAGCCGTAAAGTGTAAAACAGCTGCTACATACACTATATGACCAAATGTTTGTGGACACCTGACCATCACAACCATATGAAATTGTTGGATATCCAATTCAAAAATGATGGTCCTTAATATGGACCTGAACCTTGTAGCTATAACAGCCTCCACTCTTGTGGAAAGGCTTTCTGCAAGATTTTGGAGTGTGTCTGTGGGAATGTGTGCCCATTTAGCCAACAGAGCATGTGTGAGGTCAGGTAGTAAAGTTAGATGAGAAGTCTTCTCCTGCAATCAGTATTTAACACATCCAAAAAATGTTCAGTAGAGTTGATTTCAGGGCTCTGTGTAGGCCACTTAACTTCCTCCACACCAAACCCATCAAATCATGTCAATATGGATCTCTCTGTGCACAGGTGCACAGTCATGCTGGAAGAGAAAAGGGCCTTCCCCCAAACTGTTGCCACAAGGTTGGAAGTGCACAATTGTTCAATATGTTTTCAACCATAATTTAGGCTCTTGGTGGCTGAAACACGTAAGAGACTTTACCATGTGATCTATTTTATGGAATTTGAAATAAATATTGTGTGATATTCAGGGGTATTAGCAACTATGGTGAGCATTTAGGGATCACTCTAAGGTGCCTGTTCACACGACGTCCGTTTTCTGTGCTGACCGGATCCGTACGCTCCTGCACTAAAAATGCATCCCAATGTATCCCTATGTGTTTTATGGGCTACGGTTCTCAGGTGCGCAGTCCGTTCAGGTTACGACAGAAAAATACAGCATGCCACATTTTGTACGGTCAGGAAACGCAAAACGCATCAAAAACGCACTGCACTGCAGCTAACATACTGACGCACTGCCCCCCAGCAAAAAAAAAAAAAAAGAACGCATCGAAAACGTGGTAAAACACATAGCACCGCGTCTGCTGATCTGGACCTGATCAGGACCTGAAACTTATGTGAACAGGCCCTAAGGTCGTTTGTCACAAACAGGAAAATCCTTTATTTTGCTCAAAGGCTGAGAACCGGTGTATTCAACATAAAGTAGCTTTTCTTCAGCATTCCAACAAAACAAAGTCTGCTTGTCTTCATCAAAATAACATAAAAAGTGTGTCACTGACATAGGGATTTTGCACACAGCAAGAGTGTCCCAGTCCAAGAACCTTGGGGTATTCCTCAACAGAAACAGTTCTCAGTAGTGCTCAGACAAATTCACAAGCTCAAATAGCTTTTTCCACACACCTGTGTTACTCCTACTACTCCACCACTGTTCTGTGGAGTTTCCTGTCTTTTAACCCCTCCTCCTGTGGGGCAGTTAACACTTGGTTGCCAGATATACCCCAAAAACTTTGTTCCATATAGTGTAAATGGCTGAAAGGGTGTGTTCTTGGTCCCCCCTCATCTGAACACAAAGTCCAGTCAGCTCCAGTTTTGATTGTGATACTTACTGGGCTTTGTGGGCCTGTGCCAGTTGCAGGTTGAGGTGATCCTGTCCTTTGCGCAGTTCTTTCTCCTGACGTTTTTGCTGCCTTTCAAGGAGAATCATGGCCCGAGCTTCCTGTACTCTTCTGCGGTCCCACTCTGCCTGCCTTTGTCTCTCTTCTTCCTTCAGTCTCTGTCAAAGAAAACATTCGTTGTCATCCAGTCATCATGCCTAAAGCAACTGTGGTGTCGAGGGCATTGATAAAATGATACCTAATCAGGAAGGCATTACACAGTAAAATGCTGGTTCAGACAACAACATAACAACCCAAATTAATAATGTCTAATTCTTTCTATTAGGTTTAAATAGATTCCAAATCAATACAGAGCCAAGACAGATAATAAAACTTTAGAGTGTATCTGTCTCTTTAATTATTCCGGGACCTTATATTTTCCTGCTCTTATCTTTATCCATACCTTTTTCAGTATTGTTTACTCATCCTTAATTTTCTATTTTGGATCTAATTATTCTAATCTCTATGTTAAAATATGGAATAAAAAACAAGTCTGCTTTAGAAGTTAAAAGCAAAAAACAAACATCCTGGGCCTCTGATTGATGGGGGTGTCCATGCCCTCTGCCTATTTTACAAGGGCTTACAGTCACTCTGAGGCCCCGTTAACAACAGGGTAGTTGCATATCAGCACGGTTTACGCAAGGGCGGTTTTGGGTGTTTTTAATTGCATTTCAGCGCTGAAATGCAATTAAAAGCGCCCAAAACCATACTGAACAGTGCGGTTCCATTGAAAGCAGTATGGAAACCGTGCTGATCAGCGTGGCAAAAAAGGGTCAGGGAGCAATTCAGGCGGGAGGCGGTTCGGATCGCACAGAGCGCCCTGGTGTGAACGGGGCCTAAGAACTGCTCAAGTGTTCTTAGGGAGATAAAGCCCACTTACAAGATGCCCACCTGCCAACAAATGTGGGCTGGGGTACTAAAATGCAACCTTGCTCCAAAAATTCATTAAAACTCAGCGAGTTTCTAAGGCTAGAAGTTAGGCTTTAACATACTGTATGTTGCCATTTTCATAAATTGTCTTTTTTTTTAACTATGTATTGCCCCATTTCTCCTAGATTGCGACTACTTTGTCATAAATTTAAAGTAAAAGAAAAAAAAAAGAATGTCATACTAGCACAAGGCACACTTATTTCAGATACAAGTGAATCCATACATTATGCCCATACCATTTTTTCCTGTTTTTGTTGCTGCTGGACATTATATATTTCCTCCAGCTGTTCTGGCCTCATTCCTTTCCAGCGATCAGGGACTATGCGATGTGGGCCAAATGCACTTATTGCCTGGGCAGGGTTTTCAGAAAGGAGGTCTCCTTCAGTGAGGTTGGAGATTTCTACAGAATTATCATCTTCTTCCTGTTGCTTCTCTAACTGTCTTCTTTCTAATGATTCCTCCGCCTAGACAAAAACAAAAATAGCTAGATAAGGTCTACCTGTTTGTTAAGATACTGAGAAAACGGTAGGCATTTAAAAAGCTGATCAGATGTCCACTATACAAATACATTGAAAATGCATAGAAATTCCTCGCCTTTGTTCCTCTCCAGCAGATTTTAAAGCAGATTTTCATTTTTGAAGTAAAGCTGAACTAAAACGCTGTGCATTCAAAATCAAACAGCATGTACAAATCACAGTATTCTAGAACTAAAGCTCAGTCCTAGGTGTCCAAGCTACATCAGAGCCTGTCCCTGAACAGATCTACCTATCAGCAATTTGTCAAGCCTGCTGGCAGATAGTAGAGCTTGATTTATTTGAGTAAATTGTCATCAAAAAAAAGGAACCACCCATCAAAAAATATTTCCTTCTGGTCACAATTGCATGAAAAAATAGGATTTTGTTCTTACCGTAAAAACCCTTTCTCAGAGTCCATTTAGGGCTCAGAAGAATTCTGAGACATGGGGTTATGCTTCTGCCTGCAGGAGACACTAGGCCAAAACATTAAAAGCCTGTCACTTTAAGGACATAACCCCTGCCACCTCACACCTGCCAGTTATAGCAAGCAGCATGAAAGGAAATGAGGAAGGGGGGGTGCTGTGCCCCTCAAAGGACTCCAAGAAAAGGATTTTACGGTATGAACAAAATCCTATTTTCTCTATCGTCCATTGAGTGACACAGCTCTGAAGAATTATGAGATATAGGGACGTTCAAAAGCAGTCCAACAGAGGGCTGGGCACCATAAAACAGTCCGACAGAGGGCTGGGCACCATAAAAATTAGAAGAACCAGCTCAAATACTCAAACTCAAGTCCAGGACATGAATCGGAATCTCAAACCCGACTTCAAAGTCTTTTTTGTGATCTTTGAGAAGAGTAACTTCACATTAAAAGCAGATTCAGAGGTCAGGGATGTCTTTTTTTAAAGTCATTTTACTTCTTGCTAATGATATGTAAATCGTTTAATGTCTATAGTCTAGGCACAGGTGCACTTTAGTCTGTTCTTTCAGCCAATACATAATATTGCTCACAGAGTGCTGTTATATGTCAATGATCACATTCCATCATCAGGATTCCCTTGCAATGTTGCTATATGTAACAGCTGGAAGGTAGTTCCCAGTACAATGAGGGGAGGGGATAACCATGAGAACAAGAAGGAACATTTTTCTTGTCTTTTGCACAATTTTTTTCCTGGTTCAGACCTGCTTGGCTATGAAAAGCTGAGTAGGAATACTGCCACATACATATAATAAAGGTGTCTTTAGTCATAAAGTTATCTTCAGCCTTGCAGATTGGCAACAATGGTATGTATGCATGCATGCATTTTCCAAGCTCTCCAGATATCTCTTGGCTGACCCTTCTTGAAAGGAACAAACAGGATTAGGTTTTCCCAGGCTAAAAGCTGTTTTCCTGAAATAAGCCAATGACAGATATGTGACTTAATTCTCCTTTTCTCCTCCATGCACACTCAGCCCATCTGAACGGGCATGTTTAAGGAAAGATCCTTTGATCAAAAGTCTTTTGGCTGTCAGATATAGCCTAAATGTCTGCCGGTCATGAGATGCATGCAGGTAGGTCACTTGAACAGGAACCACGATGACTGGTTCACGATCAGCAGTGGGAACTGAAGATGTCAATGACAGCCTGGGTTGGGAGCCATCAACTGTGCATAGTGTCAGGGCACCATGCTAGGGAATGGTAAAATATAGATTGTGGGCAGAAAGAGGTCAAACACTCAAAGTATTGAAGCAAGAGGGTCAACATGGCAGCCATGCAACCAGCATTTTACTGAAGGAGAGATCAGCAATGGCAGCTTTCATATTTCTTGAAAATAATGTTCTCCAGGTGGTGGCATTATTATATAGAATATATATTTTATAGAAAGGGAATTCATTGTCACAGAAAGAGTTGTAGCCTTCTGAAATCACTCTGGGGTTGTGCATGGCTGTTTAAGATACACGTAGTGCTTAGAGGAATTCTACAAGAGGGAAAAGTAAACTCTATCACTTGACAAACAATTCCTCCACATTACAATAATTGGCTGTGTCTGGCAGCAGCGGATCAAGCAATCGTTAGCAGTAGGAATGAATTGCTATCAAATGTTTCCATGGAAAAGCAAAGCAGGATTTTGCAACTGCAGCTATCAGGGCTGATAATGGGCATACTGAAACATTTAAGGTTTATGAGGACCAGCAGACCAAAGTTGCTGAAGAGGGGAGGGGGGGAGGGATGATTGCAATGCTCAGAAGACAGTCTCAGACTCTGGAAATCCTTTGTTTAGAGTTGACTCATCAGACGTAATTGTAGTTCTCTTTAATTACAAATCAGTTACTTGTTCTCAAGAAAAAGATCCAAAACACAGGGCATTCTGATCTTGTCTGCATTCTCTCAACAGATTGTGTAATTTCAAAGCCTTTTAAACATTACAACAACAGTACGCAGAAGATGGAGTGTGCAAACTCTAAAAGTGAAGCATCATGAATTGTGTGCCATCTGACACTCTGACCTCATAAAGCACTGCGGGGAAACAATAATTGCCTTTGGAATGAAAGCTGATTGTTTTATTGGGTTTAAGAGAAAGAAAATACCCCATCTTTTTATCTAATGAACTCTCTCACTGCTGATGGCATTTCAGATGGCATTTATCCAACTACAGCCTGTGCAGACATAAACAACAACATGGGGGATGAATTTGCACAGTTCTTTCACGGCCTTGCCTAAAGGTAGAAGGCAAGTCATTTGTTTTTTTTTCTTATCGGCAGCAATCCCTGAAATTAGTTGATTACCAGCTTATAATAAAGGATGATCATCTGCACCTAACACCCTCATCAATTCATTCTTTTTGGCACTTCTCTTCTTTCACAACTCAAGATTGCTTTTGCAGGCAGGATAATGATATTAAAGGAGAACTATGAGGCGAGTGCTTTTCACTCACCTCATAGTTCTAGCCGACCTGTGACAATGAGACTGTCACAGGTCGGCTCAGTAGATCGGGAAGTGAGCGAACACATACCGGCGCTCGCTCACTTCTCGATCCTGTCACGGCTGGATTCCCCCCTCCCCGCTCCGATCCTCTAGCGCTGACTGGCGGAACGGACAGGGGAGGGGGCGGGTACAGCTGACTCTGCCTCTAGATAGTGTCCTCCCGTTACCTTAAGGAGAACTATGGGGAAAAGCCCTAACCCCATAGTGCTCATTTAAGTAATAATTAGCGGTGCACCAGAATGGAATTTTCAGACTGAACCGAAAGTAAAAAATGTGTCAGGCCGAAACCGAAAATTATTTTTTTTTCTATCCTTTAAAAAAAAACTTTTTAAATTTTTTACATTTTATTTTTACTTTACTGTCAGGGGCTCTGGGGAAATATTGGGGATCTAAACAGACCCCAGATATTTCCCTTTTTGAAATAGAAAAAGAGTCTGGGACAGAGTCCTCAATCTCTTTTTCTGCAGCCCCTGCTTTGAATGAACAGGTAGCTTCTATACTGAGTGCTCCTGTCCATTCATAAACTGTGGATATAGTATGAGTTACTATGTCTACAATCATGAATGAACAGGAAGTGATGTGAAGCACTTCCTATTCATTCATAATTGGAGACACAGTAAACATACTATGTCCTCAAATGAACACTCAACGATCAGCTGATCGCTGAGTGCTTGTACTCGGCTCTTCATGCTGACTTGCTGGCACAGGAGGCTGAGCGGGCAGTGTGGGATAAGAGCTCGGCCTCCTGTGACACTGCTGACAGCTGACTCCTCCCCCACACTGCCTCCTATGACAGTTGTTTCCTCCACACACTGCTCTCCATCCTGATCTGCCTGTCACAGGAGGCTGAGCAGGTGGTGTGGAAGGAGAGCTTGGCCTCCGGTGACACCACTGACAGCGCTCTGCTGTCTGCCCCGCTCGGTCTCCTGAAAGTTTCTCTCCTCCCTGCTGGGCACTGCTCTGTGTCAGAGGGGACACAGAGCAGCACCCAGCGGGGTAGAGAGAAACTAGGGATGCACAGCATTTTCGGCCAAAAAAGTGCACTTTTGCCATTTTATCCAAAGTACCATTTTCGGCCAAAATGTTTTGGCAGCTGAAATTTTGGTGCATCCTTAGTAATAAACCCTCGTCTTAATGGGCAGAAAGAGATGACTACAGAGTGGCAACAAAATAAGAAATGTATTACAATAAGTAGAAAGCAGGTTCATACATTCCTGTCCGCAATCCGTTTGCTTAAACGGCAGAGCTCCTGGCACAGATCTGATTCAACATCTCAGGCTGCTCGAATATTGGTTTCCCCCTCTGGCCACTGTGGTTCCTCCTGCTGACTAGTCACAGCAGGATACAATAGTAACATAGGGATCCATGGGAGAAACCACAGCAGCCAGTAGAGGACATGATCACACACCTGGAAGTGTGGAATAGGGCAGTGCCAGTCAGTGCTCTCACAAGCAAAGCCCTTCTAACCATCTTGTCTTAAATTGTATTGTAACTTTACTGTCTCACTTTATATTGTAACATGCTGTGCATGCTGGCGCTATATAAATCCTGTATACTAATAATAGGGTTAGTCCCGGGAGCTCTGCTACGAGCTAAGTTTGAGCACACAGACCACTTTTTTCTCCAGGTAACATCTTTCTGATTTTGTTGATCCCCTGACAGGGCCACTTTAAGACTGGATAAAAAATATCAATCTACCTCCAGTCATGCAGGTTCCAATTACCCACAGCCATAAAGGAATTCAGGGGATCAAGTGGCCGTTTGCTTTCTCTCAGGCTGAGGTCCACTTTCCCCAACTGGTGCAAATGAAACACTGCTTTCTGAAGCCTCCTCTTTGGTTCATTGGACTCACCATATTTAAGATGTATTTTGGTGCTAAGAAAAGGAGGCCAAGGCAAGTGGACAGAACCTTTTTTTTCCCTTTTCTGATATTTACCTGGGCTTTGTTGAAGTCCTTTGTGAAAGTATTGATATCTCGTCTGGCCTTTTCTTCCATTTTTTGTAATTCCATTGCCTTCTTGTCAAGTTCAATCCTGTGTTTGTCATAGAGACTATCTGCAAAGAGCAGGAAACGGCTTACAGTAATAATGTCATACAGACAAAATGGAAGTTACAAATCTGAATTCTCACTTGGCCTTCATTAAAGTATGTGTCACTTACAAAAGGATCCCTGGACATGCAGTTGACTAATTGGATAAAGTAACATGGATTATGCATCTGGATTAAAATGTATCCAAGACCTAGACCAAGAATACAATATTGCAGGTTACCAACCCTTCGATGTGGTGGCTGCATTAGTTTGCTTTTTTTTTACCCCGTGATACTGTCACTATCATACTTATGGTCGTAGGGTGACAACGCTCACTCGTTGTACTGTTTCTATGGAGGAGCAGTGCTGTCACCCTAGGACAGGAAGTGTGTTAGGACACAGAACATCTCCCCTCTCCCCATCTCCATGACACAGGGGAGCAGGGTTGATAACATTACTTGAGATAACACTGCAGAGTGCAAAGGAAGTTATGAGCTCACTGGACCTCTGACAGGTTTAACAGGTATTTCATTACACTTATCACAAAGCTATTCAAAAGCACTTCCAATGGTATTTAACAGATAGAATGACAGATAAAAAGGTAGCAAATAAAAGCAATTAGTTTTTAGAGTGAAAGTATACTCTATTGTTTTTTTTTTAGCATGTTAGATTTGTATTGAAAAAAACGAAAGACAAAGCAGTACATAAGTAGTCCAAAATGACATGAAACAGGGATCATGCATCAGTACACAGACTGCGATCCATACATGTTCAACGGATATATTCAAGCAATATTAAAGAAGAACCCATATCACAATATGGTGAAACACATGTAAGCGACTCTATATTGCGGGTGTGGATACTTAAATAGTTATAACCAGGTGACCCTAAGGCCGTGAGTGTCAGGAATGAGTAGGGGACCATCTCTCCATGGCGTGGGGACTCGTGGGCATATCAGGAGGGCCTAGCCTCCATATGTACGGTAGGTGAGAACCGTAGAACATTAGTCAGGGGATGTTAGGGACCGAGGACATCTAGTGAACCTAGGGTGCCAGTCAGTTGGGCCTCCAGATACCAGTTAGAAAAGCGAAAAATGGACATCAAGTCCTGCAGTTGCTGCAGTGAATATTCCGATGTAACATAAGATGTCCAAGTGTCAAAGAAGTTTTTAGTGCGCAATTGGTTAAATTTCGTATCTAGTTTATCCAGTAGTAACAGGCGATTGAGGCGGGGGACGGAAGGTGGCCATTGATGGGGGTTCAGGTACGATCCAGTTGCCCAAGATCGCCTTTTTTGCAAAGATGCTTTTTTGCAAAGATGCTCCCAGCGGTTCGGGTGGGAGGGAGTAGCCCCTGTGTGCAGGTGAGGGGCGTGTAGTAGGCAGAAGGCATGGGACAGTGTTCTCGTCTCACGGGAGTGGGAAGTATACTCTATTGTTACAATGTTATACAAGATTTACACTAGCTGCAGCCACCTATGTTAGGGTTCAGAGAGGCATATAGAGTTCCCAGTTCCATGCAGTCATAGGATACACATTTGGAGACTAATATAGGCATCAGGGTTGCTTTTAGAGATTACTAGTCATACACTGCTTGAATTCCGGCCCTATCTCCAGCTGAATTTAGCTAGTAGTAGAGATTTCTCCATTCTAGAAGGTTTGTGTGGATGGGGTAAGTGATGGATTTCTCTAGAGAAATGATATGAATTTCAATGGATTTCTATGGCCAGCTTATGTGTAGGTATCTTCATTTCTCTGAGATATTGTCTAAGCCTATTTTTGCCCTAGAGCTATAGTCCTTTCCTGCTATCCCACCCACTCTTAGAGATAGAGTGTTTGCAAAAGTAATGCATTTTGGGGCTAAAAACAGGCAAGCGGAATACCCATTAATGGGAACTCCACTAGGGAAGTCAGAAATGGAAAAAGATCTGGGGGTCATAGTTGACTGCAGATTAAGCAATAGCATGCAATGCCAGGCTGCAGCTAACATAGCTAGCATAGTACTGTCATGCATTAAAAAGGGAATGTACTGTAGAGACAAAGCAAAAATTTTGCCACTTTACAGATCACTGGTTTGGCCTCATCTGGAGTATGCGGCTCAACTTTGATCACCATTCCACAGAAAGGATGTTCTTAAGCTGGAGAGGGAACAGAGAAGGGCAACAAAACGAATTGAGGGGCTGGAGGACCAAAGCTATGAGACAAGGTTGTTAAATTTAATTTGTTCACTCTAGAAGTGAGGCGATTAAGAGGGGATATAATTATGATGTGCAAATTGTTTAATGGCGATACTAATATCAGTAATAAACAGTTTACTGTAAACTCCCTAAAGAAGACTAGAGGCCACCACCGAAAACTGGAGGAAAAAAGATTTAACCACAAGGGCCGTAGGGGCTTCTTTTCTTTTAGAGCGGTATAAAAATGTGGAACACAATTCCATAATCAGTTGTATCATCAAAGAGTATTATAATTCAAAAATCATTTAGATACCTTCCTCCAGGGGCGTAACTAGAAATCACAGGGCCCTATAGCAAAATTTTGTATGGGGGCCCTGTGATTTCTAGTTACGCCCACCTGATAACCCAAACAGCCCACCTGAGGGTGACCCTGCAGAGCCCACCTTAGGACTCCCTATGGTGGGCTCTGCAGGGTCTCAGGCGGGCGGTCAAGTCCTCTTACCTGTCAGCCTCTCGTGCCCCGCCGTGCCCCAGGCCCCATAGCGGCCGCCTGGGTCGCTATGGTGATTGTTACGCCACTGCCTTCCTCAGAGACCATAACATAGAGGGGTACAGATACTCTTACTGACTGGAACACACACAGACTTATACACACACATGCTCATAAAGGTTGAACTCGATGGACCTGTGTCTTTATTCAACCTTGAATACTATGTAACTATCAGGAGGGCGCAAAGAAGAGGCTTTTCAGTTTAAAGTGGAGCTGACCTCAAAAAGTGAAGATTTGCGATGTTACAGGGAACATATAGGAATGTTAATTGTGCCTAAGCAGTACCCTGAAAAACGTACATTTTGTATTCAATACCTCCTGAAAAAGAGCAGAACAGTTTCTGGTATGTAAGGGCGCCTAGGCACTCCTGTCCCTACAGTCTAATAGCTATGTATTCGCATTGGGAGATCTAAGGCACTGTTGCCTCTGGCCTCTAGTCTCAGGAGATGTGGAGTGTGATTTGGTGATGTGACTATTGACATGAGGAAGCAAAGCCATGCCTCTACCAAGATGAGTGCCTCTATACAAAGACACAAGCGGAACAAGGCATGGTAATTTAGTAGCCATCTGCAGGGAGATCCCAGGTAACATTGGTGACTAGACCTTTGTGCCTGCCTTATTTTAAGCACAACTTTTAGGGTTCAATGGGGAAAATTTAGCAAAATTTGAGCAGACAATAAATGCACGGATATGCACGGCAACCAATCAGCTTCTCTCTTTCATGTTCAAATCTTAACTGAACAAACTGAAGAGAGAAGCTGATTGGTTGCCATGCACAGCTGGTCCAGTTTTTGCCTGCTCCAGTTTTGATAAATTACCCCCAGTGTCTGTGTAAATTTTGACATACCTGAGGGTGGGGTGGGGGAGTCTTTGATTCAAGCCCTATTTTTTGCGTTTGCAGTGGAACGGAACGCTGGCAAAGTTTTGCCTTGCGTCCGATCGCACTGTGGGCGGGGGGGGGGGGGGGGGCGTGGAAGCGGTGCCATTGAATTCAATGCACCGCCACACTCCCTCCCGCCCCAAAACGTGGGGGGAAGTTTCTTTAGCGATCGCGGTGTGTTCCAGCAGCTACCGCTCTGGAACGCACACGCTTTCGGTGTGAACAAGCCCTTAAGAGGACTGGTGTTGGATCCCAGGATGAGTATTGTAGTAAGAGCTAGAGTTTTTTATTTTACCTACTGCAGGGCTATAAATATTTGTTTTTAAATGTTACCAAGCTGCAGTTGGATTTTAGTAAAGTTAAGAGCAGGCATCACACGGTGATTGATAACATGAGGACAACATTGCTTGCAATTCACCTTTGTTCTTTTGAATAAAATGAAATCTTACCAGCAAGCTTTTTGTCTTCTACTGCTTTCTGTAGCTCCCTTTGTTGCTGGAGGGACCATTCTCTCAGCTGTTCTTGCTGCGCTTTTCTCCTGTTCCTTTCTGTTAAATCCTCTCCCATAAGCCTCTGCACCCCAGAAACACTGCAACGGGTATCATTATCTGACACCCGTGCTGGCAGATCGTTCTTAAAGGCCTGTGGGTCGTATAGATCAAACTCTCTGCGGTCCTCTTTCTTCTGGAAGCAGAGCCTGAACTCATTGATGGCTTTGTTCAGGTTTCGGATGTCCTTCTTTTGTCGCTCATCTAATAAGCAGGTGATCTTGTCATTCTGCACCATCTGTGCATCTAAAAGTAAAAAATATATTAATATTCAATGTTAAAACGTTCTTATCTTGGAGTGTGCAAGGGTTGGAACCCCTTTCAAGTTTATACTGCAGTCTGTGCCCTCGCAGGGGAGATTCACCCTCTTTTATCTGTCCTGCTAACCAATGAGACAGATAGTGATGGGGAAACCTAAATGTAAAGCTGTATTAGGGAGGGTGCTGTACATAGCTTGCTGAAAATATCACAGTGCCCTGCCCAGTACTTCTCTCAAGAGTCCTTGGCCCTGATGCAAGCAGGGGGTTCGCTTTTGGGAGGAGTTATACAAATATTAAAATGCCTTTGTGGGAAGATGTCCGCTTGGAGGAGTTGTCATTCTTAGTCAAGCTGCATTTTAATGCCCTAGGTAATGCCCTAGGCAATGAAGGAAAGAGGTGGGCCATCTGATTATACAATCTAGTAAGATTACTGGGGAATATGCAGTGGTTTAGTAAATAATTATAATCCTCTTGTATGGATTTGCATTGTAATTGTTGGCACTATATAAATTCTGCATAATAATAATAATAATAATAATAATTTCTTTATTTTAGGGCTGTGGAAATTAAAGATTAATTTCTTGATTAATCGTTAAACTTTTTGATCGATTAAAATTATCTTGATAGCTAATGAAAACACTCACCTCTCCGCTGGCTTCCGGGAGTCCCGTCGATGTCCGTGACGTCACCGGACTCCTCCCCCCTTTGTTAGCCGACGGAGCCACTTGGGCCGGTGAGTTTTCCCAAGAAACTTTCTGCACGAGCGCCAGCCAAGGCATTGGCCTATACACATACAGCACAGCAATGAAGTAATAAAATGAACTAGGATCACAGTAATCCAGCACGTTATTCATCTCACGTGCCCCACTCAAGCGGCGGCCATATTGAGTAAGGCACGTTGTGAGATGAATAACGTGCTGGATTAGTGTGATCCTAGTTCATTTTATTACTTCATTGCTGTGCTGTATGTGTATAGGCCAACGTAGTTGGATCTGTATGTGCGTTATAATTAATCGAAATTAATCGATTAAAAAAAATTAGATTAATCGAACACGAAAATTTTAATCATTACCAGCCCTACTTTATTTTATCATCAACGTTCTCAGGTAAATAAGAAATATTGCATATTACTATTATGTATTGCTTCTTTGATCCAGCAGATGGAGCATTAGGCTTCCTATATCTATATACAGTATGTACAGCCTTATAAAGCCTGAAGAAAGGACCTAATGGATCCCAAATCTTGCATTTTTAATAAGTTCGCCAATAAAAGGTATCACTTAAACTCTGAATTTACTAGAGCCTGTTAAAAAGCCTTTCCAGAACTAAAGCCCTAACCCCGACAAATGCACTCCAGACCACTGAAACTGTCACAGATCCCCTTGAAAGTGCCCTAGTGATTTTAACAAAAACTCAGAGTAACCCTGGGCTGTGTCCATGTGCTGGAATCCGGAACCCTCTTTTAAGCGCACGTGTCCATTTATATCCCATTACCCCCGATCCGTCACGATCAGATCTGCCAAAATGGAACTCTGTTCAGGAAGACCTGATCTGACTGCCCATCTGATCATCTAATACCAGTGTTAAGCTGGCCATACACATAGAGATTATCTGCAGACTCTCTATGGTCAGATGGAAAAAGTACAACAGATTCCTCCATCTACGCTAAACTGTGTGGATGGAGGAATCTCCCACTGGGCCAAGCTTCAGTATCTTGCTAGTCGGCCCCACTGGCTGTCAAATACCTGAACAATCTGATTGGATGCAGGCCTTGTTCAGGTATTTTGAAAACCAGTGGGGGCGACTAGCAGGATACATAAAGGAGAACTATGAGGTGAGTGATTTTCACTCATCCTCATAGTCAGTTTCATTGTCACACGTCGGCTCTATTGATTGGGAAGTGAGGGAACACATACCGTCGCGTGTTCACTGCCCGATCATCTCCCCGCAGAGAACAGTGACTTCCCTGCAGGGATTCCTCCCCTGTCCGATCCTCCAGCGCTGACTGGAGGGACGGGAAAGGGGGCGGGCACAGCTGATAGGCAGAGCTGATAGATAGGCAGAGCCTGCTGTCAATCAGCTAGCTGGGTGGATCTCGACAGTATTGTCGGGAATAGTCCCGGCTGCGTTGGTCTCAGTATATAGCTGGTAATAGCTCACTATATACTGAGCTTTGGGTCACGGGAGGAGGTTAGTATATGTCCTCCCGTGACCCTGAAGAGAACTATGGGATAAAAAAGTTACCCCATACTTCTCTTTTAAGCTTGGCCCAGTGGTAGATTCCTCCATCCACACAGTTTAGCGTAGATGGAGGAATCCGTTGCACTTTTTCCATCTGACCATAAAAAAGATCTGCAGACAATCTATAGGTGCATGGCCAGCTTAAGTGGAAGTCATAGGACTATGTATAATATAGGGGTTAGAAAGAGAAGCAGCTAAAGCTCTATCTTTCAGGCACAGAAATATCAGTAACTTACCAAATGCCTCTTGTCTCTTCTTTTCTGTCTCTTCTTGGGTTTTCTTATCACGAACTTGAGTCTCCAACGCATCTTTATCAACCTAAAGGATAATAAAGAAAAAACCTGTTATACTCTACAGTTGTAGGACATATTTTGTTCATGACAGAGGTGCTCGGTGTTATTTATGCTGAAAGTCCAACTAAAACCAACTTTCAATTTAAAGCAGCTGAACGCAATCCAGGTGCAACAAAACAATCAGGGTTATTCACTAAGGGCCTGTTCACACGACGTCCGTTTTGTGTGCTGACCGACTCCCTACGCTGCTGCACTCAAAATGCATCCCAATGTATCCCTATGTGTTTTATGGGCTCCACGTTCTCAAGTCCGTTCAGCTTACGACAGAAAAAATACTACATGTCACATTTTGTACGGTCAGGAAACGCAAACGCGTCCAAAACGCGTCAAAAACTGCCTTGGCGCGGCAGTGCGGCTTACACATCCTTTGCAGAAGACGTGTATCCAAACCTCTGTCAGTGTCCTTAGTGGTGAGACAAGTTGTTTTACATGCTGGTTTGTGAGTGTGCCATGATGCCTTTCTACTGTTCCAAAAACACATTAAAAACGCACTGCAGCTAACATGCTAACAGCCCCACTCCAGCAAAAAAAAATTTTTTTTTTTTTTACTGGAACGCATCAAAAACGTGGCAAAAACGCACTGCATCAGTCTGCAGATCCGCACCTGATCAGGACCTGATATCATGTGACCAGGCCCTAAGGCCTGGTTCACAAATGAACGTTTTGTAACGCGTTCAACGCTCGACGAACGCTCTACAAAACGCTCAAACATCTAAATCCCATTGTATTCAATGGGTCTGGTTCACACCTTGCCGTATTTCCGCCCGTCCGAACGCGATACAAAACGGCCTACGCCCAAAGAAGTACATGTACTTCTTTGGGGCGTTTTGGTCTCGCGTTTCCATTGGGATACAGCCAAGTAGCCCTCGGAAATGGGTGTTTGTGGCGCGGGTTTTTTTTTACCGCGAATCGCGGTACAAACGCGCGACGCGAAATGCGCGACAAACGCGCATATTCAATACGCCTAGGTGTGAACCCAGCCTTAAGGGTGAAGTGTTTGGAGAAAGCAGGAGAAGTGAACAATCTAGGACAACATAGCTGAACTGGAAAGTGGAAAATTGTCGAATTTCTCCTAGATTGTTCACTTCTCATGCCTTCTCCAAACTCTTCACCCTTTTGTGAATAGCCCTGCAAGTATTTGAATCTTACAGTTCATTTTCTTCAAAAAGCAGCTATAGCCTAAGTAGAAAAGTCTGTCCCCTTCCAGCATGCTTCAGAGAAGGACTCTTGCTCTGTGTGTGGAAGCAGTGGTCTCTCAGCATGGGTCAGACACGCCCCCTGCTGAGAAAGAGCTAGAACTTTCCATTCAGCAGGAAGAATAAGCTTTGCTGAATGAAGGCCTATAGGTCTGACTCAGCAAGGAGTGTCTTGGACCTCTGCCGAGAGACTGCTGCTTCCACACAGAGAGCAAGAGTCCTTGTCTTACTACTCGAGATGTGGCTGCCTTCTGTAAGACTTTGCACACCTTTTGTTTTGATGCATCCGGAAAGAATTTAGCTGATTTAAACTGAATGTTAAGTTATGCCCGAAGTTGTTAGTGTTCCAGTATTTTATGAGCCCACATGTTTGGCATCTTTACAGAATCCTGTTAAAGGAATATCATTTTATCCAGTTAGGAAATGGGAAATTCCTAGTTCCTAATTCCTAGCTCACTCTTCTGATGGACTACAATCTCACCTTTAGGTTACTAATTTGTATTGAGATTGTATTCCATCACAGGAGTGAGCTTGGAGCGGTGACTACTTTACAACACACACGGGGACCATGGGGATCAAAGTAGCCATCCTCCAGAAGGAAGGACAGTGTCAGCACCAATTCAGAGAAGATTTGAGGATCCATTTTTTACAGTTAAGGTACTTGAATGCACTTTTGAGATTGAACTCCTGCGTTTAGTGTCACTTTAAGATTTCTCTTGTGCGCCTCACAAGCTGGTTGTTCACGGAGGCCTCTGGATGAAAATATAGCTCTCTGGTACCCTCTGCTGTTCAAAATACATTTTCATATTTTGCAAAAGAGAAACTGTCATGTGACCCGCATTTCTAGTGACCCATTTTATAAGCTGTTCATGATTCTCTGATGAAAATGTTATGACATAAACTGGGGTAACCAGTGAGCAGTAACGAAAATCTGTTATCGCCTTGTGTTCAGTGTTAGGGCTGCTCTGTCGCTCACAGTCTATAATCGTTTGTATAATGCTTCTCCGATCACCTGTGTACATGCCGGCACCCTGTTTAAGGGCCGGTTCACACCACAAAGTCCGCGTTCCAGTGCGTTCGGCCTCTGGAATGCACTGGAACGCAAGCCGGCCAGCTCCCCGCCTGCAGTGCGATCGCCCACACCTGAAAGGCAGGCACATTAGTGTCTGCATTCTGGTCCGGTGCGATCTGCAAAAATAGTGCTTGCCGTTTTTTTGCATATCGCACTGGACCAGAACGCAGGCACTAATGTCCGGTTGCAGGCGATCGTACTGCGGGCGGGGTGTGTGGCATTTTTTTAAAATGCCCCCAGAACAAGAATAGAGGAAAATCTTCCAATGGGAACACCTGTTCAGTGTAAGGACCGGTTGACACCACAGCGCTGCACTAAAGGTATGGATTCCGTTCATTTAGCACACGCTATAGCGCAGCACAATGGTGCGTTGTGTTGCCATTCATTTGAATGGTACTCCAATGCACCTACCGTTGGGTGTTGCAGCGCAGTATGCTGCACCACAATGCCATGTGCTGCGGTTAAAAAAGTAGTGCTTGCATAACTTTTTTTTTCCCCACTGCACTGCGATGCACAGTATGGTGCTACTGAATGTTGTGCTTCACGCCCCCCGCCCCCTCCCCCTTCGAGATTTGTTGGGGTACCATTTAAATGAATGGCAACACAACACAGCAGAACACATGCGCTGTGCCATAACCTGTTCTAAACGCATTAAAACAATGCTTTTAGTGCAGCATTATGGTATGAACCAGCCCTTAGACAGTATTTCCCTCACATCGGAAAGATATCCTCTCACTTCCTGTGGAGTCTGCAGGACAGGAAGTAAAGGGAAATCTCCCTAATGAGACACAAATAAATGGCTAAATAAATAAATAAATAAATAAAGCTGCTCTATGTTGTTTAAAATGAGAAAAATGTGTTTGATTTAGATATACTTTGAAGGACAGCTGTACTTTCCCCTTCATGTTGCAGATAAAAGCACAGAAAAATCAAGTATTGGAAATGCTTATTTTAAGTGCATTTGCTTTTCATAAATTATTATTTTTTTGTTATTCACTCACAATGTGCCTCTGAACTTGCTTTGAAAATGTGACCACTCCAGGAAGAGTCCTCTCTCTAACAAAGCCCCCTCCCTCTTTGCATGTTATAACTCTCTCCTCCTCTGGGAGTGTCTGATTACTATCTGTGCTGGCCCAGCTCCCCCTCACCTGCATACATATCCTTATATGCACTTCTGGCGGGAGTGGTAAAGGGGAATACTATAGAGCAGTGGCCACCGCAGTCCAGCCATAA